CTATTCAACTAAAAACAATGCCCCGACGGCGTTTTGAAGATAAACACATTGTCAATCATTTGTGAAAATTTCAAAACAAAAAGTCAAAGCGTCTAGGCGCTATTTTTTTTTAAAGTTCTGGAATGTGCACTAAAAAGAAGCTGAGATTATTGCTAATTTGCATAACAATTCACTCAGTAAGAAGTTTCCTAATGCTCATAATTAAAATGGCTGTTACAGTTTCAAATTTAAATGTATTACCGTTTTGTAAAAAGTTAAATACAGTGCATAATATGGAGATCCCGTAATTTCTTTTCTTCACCATGTTTTCTTTTTTATTATTTATGTACAGCCTTGCTACATCTTGCCATGCATTCAAAAGAGATAATTTTGCACCTGTTATCTATATTTTTAAATCGTATTTTGAGTATGTTCCACTATTCACAATTCTACAAAATTTCAACAGTCTATAGCCAAGACTTTTTGGATAATAAAAGGCAAAAAAAAAAAATTTCACTCCCAAGTGCCCACGAACCTGCATCTCTACCTTAATAATAATTCTGTACTTTTTCTGACACTCACACTAACAAGTTCAAATTTACTTGTTCAAATTTCAATCACGAAAGAAGGTTGTTCCACTCAATGGCAGGAATTGGTGCTGTTTCTGGTGGATAGATAGTCAACGTTTACTGTGACTGCTAATTTGTTTTGAACAACTAGCCGGCAATATCATCAGCTATGTGCACCAAACATATGTGCGATCACAGTAAGCAAAAACACACATCCACATTTAACCTGATAGCTTCTATGTACCAGTATATTTGCATGCATTGTAGTTCAATATTACCATAGTTGAAAATACAACACAGTGCAAGTGTGCCATGGTTGCATTGCATATGTAGAAAGTACCGGTACTACAGTACAATAATTGATCATTGTTATCTGGTCTTTTTTAGGTGAACCCATATTAAGAGATGAGGTGGATGAAGATTAAAGATAACAAATAAAAACAACTATATATTTTCCATTTTTTGGTATTGTAAATATTGAACATTTTGTAATTTGGCATATATTTACTTATTTTTCGTAATGTTACAGTTAGATACATATTGTACATACTGATTTGAATACATTCTGTGTAGACTCAATGTTAAATTCGTTCCTCATGCTCATACATTTCCATACTTAATTACATCATTATTATTGTTTCTCTTGTTATAATATTCCATTTAAATAAAGTAAAAAAGCCAAAAATAAAATTTTATGTCTTTTTGAATTTCATTATTTATAAGTACATTATTGTATTGCTGTATATTATATACCTGAGCATTATAGTACTTACTTGGAGAGTTGTTCGTGTATAATAAAAAAATTGCTTTAAAAAAAATAAGCTGTAATTACTCAGAGATTTGTATAGCGAGTATTCCACATAATCGAGTGCGAAAAAAATTCTTTGTTTTTTTACTTATTTCAGATGTAATTTTCATGCAATAAAGTTTTAAAAGTCAAAGCTTACATTTTTTTTTCTAAATTAAATGTTACTTGTATTGGAGCATATTTACTGATGTCTGGTAACATAGAAAAATGTTTGTAAGTAGTCATAGTTGTGGGCTGAGACGTGAACACTTTTCACGAAAACCCTCAGGTACTATTGTAATATACTAGACAATTCATGTGCTAAAAAAAACTGCCAATCTTGCCAATCAATTGACCTACCTTGTGTGGAGGGAGAAATATTCACTTTGTTCAAGTTTAGCGACTTTGTGTGGCAGGGATATTGACTGGTTTTATAGGAAAAACCATTTCAACTTAGTGCATTTTGCAAAATAATTAGTCCAGTACAGTAATCTTAGACTACTGTAAAATACTTTATTTCTGCTTGGAATTTATATCCGCTGAAGGGATGATTCAAAAATTCAGTGAATATAAGCTTTTTTCTTATATTTTACATTCAACTCGTCAAAAATCTGAAATTTAATTTCATACAAACACCCAAAAAGCCTTTCCAGCGAAAATTAATTCCAACTAAAATAAATGTTATTATGTATTTTATTTATTAGTATTATGTTTCATTTGGTGTCATTATCTTCACAATTATTGAAATGAATTTTGATATGAAAATCAAAACTTCTATGGTAACCAATATGTTTGTTATATTATTAATCTAATAAAAATAAAGGTAGGATTGATCTTGCTAGAAATGTGAAAATACATATTTTACATGCACTTCCCACTCCCTTTATTATTAAACAATAAGGTTATTTTACTATGAAACAACATTGAATGGTGTTACAAAACAAATATTGTATCACAAACCATAGATCTACAAGGTTTGTGTCTGAACACTCTTATCTGTAATGGTCCTGCTTATTTTCAATGTCGACTCAAGATGGCGCTGTTTGCACAATGCTTCCAAGTAGTTTATCTAAAAATAGCATACTATAAGCACAATTTTATTGAGAATGTGTCCCTTTAATTCGAAATATAAGCACATGTATTTAATCAATAAATAATTGCTTGTCATGTTCAAACACACTATGAAATAGAAGTCAAACAATCTCCAGAAATAAAACATGATGAAAAATCATTGGAAATTGATCGTTTACTGCATTTATCTCACAATTTACCTAAACATCAGACGCTTTCACATAACTGTCCCAATACCCAAATAAAATCCTATGATGATCTCGAAATGGAACTTTAATGCA